TCATTTTAAAGAGTTAAAGCAAGCCCCACACCTTTACTTCATGTAAAGTTACCATCTTGTTCCCATGTACATATCGCCACAGTCCGTGCCGTGGTGAAACGTGCAGTCCTGTAGATCTGAAATAATCGGATGGTGAAATTCTTGAAAGTCAGGACAAGGATCCTACAAAGTAACTATATTTTTTATAGTTGAGAAATAGATGAAGCAGGCCTTTATAATTAAATGTGGAGTGGAGCTTCATAGTTAGCCTACGTGTTGTTGACATTACATGCCCTGCGTATTCGGCAATCATCATTTATCTGAAATACACCGTTTCCATCATCATTTGTCGCAATTAAGAAAGTTAGACAAAAGAAAAATCCATCCGTCGAACAGATTAAAATAAAATATAGGTATATATCCTACATCTGCTGTTTCACAAAAAAATTATTGCGACATTACTTTAGTTGAATAAACCTGGGTCACTGAAAACCTGCCTATTGTATTAAAAGTGCAAGTGAGTTTAAGTGACTATCCTTTTCAAAGAGCACCTTAGTCTCTACAACTTCACACTTTGACCGTTTTTACCCATACGAGCACACCAACAAAACAATGTTTCTTTTCGCGATTATAGCAGTTTCTTTCCCATCAAAAACGTAAAGCATCACAATCTCAACCAAAACAAACCACACACAATGTTATGATTACAACTTTAACTTTATTTTCCCCATAAAACCAATTCTCTTCACAATGTATTTACAGGCACAAATACACATCTGGTATCAAACTATACACGTGCCAAAGAGTGGCAGACAGTAGTGTTCTCTTTTAACTCCCCAATCTCATCTTTACAAACCGCTGAAAAGCGTCACATTTCAGTTGGATTATTGTTTAAAGCAGAATCTTTCAATGGCATCCTTTTCCCTAGCCTGACCAGGCCAAAAGTAGTGCACTGTATAGGGAATAGAGTGCATGGCCAAAAGTAGTGCACTGTATAGGGAATAGAGTGCATGGCCAAAAGTAGTGCACTGTATAGGGAATAGGGTGCATGGCCAAAAGTAGTGCACTGTATAGGGAATAGGGTGCGATTTGGGACACACCAAGGTTTCTCCGATAGAGACCTTCTCATTAGAATATGAGATGTCCTCTCAGTCCAGACCTGTGTGTGTTGTTGATGACCCAGAATGGGAAGGAATATAAAACTGTACAGCCAGTAGAATAACACAACAGTTAACGTCCCAAATACCACCCCATTCCCTTCACAGTGCACTACTTTAGACCAGGGTCCATAGAGAAGCCCACAGGGCTCTGGTCAGAAGTGGTGCACTACATAGGGGATAAGGTTCCTCACCACGTGTGTTGCTGCTCTGATTTGAAGTCCAAAGGAATCAAGACGTCCACAAAAGCCCGACCAGACGATTAACAAGCACACGCATGCAGAGAATCCAAGCACACGCATGCAGAGAATCCAAGCACACGCATGCAGAGAATGTCTAGTTAAAGCTACAGTCCAACGAGCCAGACACGGGGTCAGAAAAGAACAGGCAACATAACGCTCACTAGTAACAGGAAGACACAACGGACGCGTTCCAGGCTGACGACACTGCAGATGGCTGCCTAGAGAGGTGTTTATCATACCAGCTAACAACATCATGTTAGTATAAAAGTAATCCTTCTCCCCCCCCCACCCCACCCCCACAAAAAATATATATAAAAAAATAATAATAATAATAATAATAAAAAGAAAAAAACACAAAAAATAAAAGAAAAAATATATATAACAATATATATATAAAACAAATAAAAATTAAAAACATACTCTAAAAAAAAAAACTATTAAAAATTCTAAATAATTCTTTTATAAAATATAAATACTATAAATAAATAAAAAATTGTAAAGTGGTTATCCCACTGGCTATCATAAGGTGAATGCACCATTTTGTAAGTCGCTCTGGATAAGAGCGTCTGCTAAATGACGTAAATGTAAATGTAAATGTAATGTTATATAGCAATCTGATGCCCGACTGGGCTCTCTATGATGTGACACACAACGTTGGATTGATGCGATGCAGCATCTGTAAAATTAGTCGGCCTGGAACGCAACCAAGTTTCAAGAAGTGATCAGGAGGTATTGCAGCATGTTGTGCCTCCTCTGACCACAGGATGGGGCAGTATACTGCCTTAGTAGACTAAACCCTTTAAAAACGCTCCAATCAAACAGTACACACACACACACACACACACACACACACACACACACACACACACACACACACACAACAGCCCAGTCAGAAAACATCCTTTAAAAATCACACCGTCTGTGTCCCAAAATGGCACCCCTTATCCCCTGTATAGTGCACTACTCTGGTCTAAAGTAGTGCACTATATAGGGAACAGGGTGTCATTTGGGACCCGCTCACTGTCAATAAATCAAGCCATACATCCTGATGACCAGGATCTCCAAACACACAGACCAAAGTGTTAGGAGGGAAAACTAATGAAGATCACCATTCAACAATATAACTACACAACCTTTTACAAACCCAAGATAGATAAACAATCTCTATGTACACTAACTAAACGTAGGTGTCATCAAACCAGGAACTGGGTCAAAGTGTGCAACCTAAAATGGCACCCTATATAGTGCACTACTTTTGACCAGGGCCCATAGGGAAAAGGGTACTACAGGGCTCTGGTCTAAAGTAGTGCACTATATAGGGAATAGGGTGCCACTTCAGACAGAGCCAAAGAGAGTAACCCTTGGTAACGATAACATGTTAGGTAAATATAGCGATACAGAGTCTGTGGGGTCAAAGGTCAGGGGTCTCTACCTGGAACAGGATAGGTCAGGGGTCTCTACCTGGAACAGGATAGGTCAGGGGTCTCTACCTGGAACAGGATAGGTCAGGGGTCTCTACCTGGAACAGGATAGGTCAGGGGTCTCTATCTGGAACGGGATAGGTCAGGGGTCTCTACCTGGAACAGGATAGGTCAGGGGTCTCTACCTGGAACAGGATAGGTCAGGGGTCTCTACCTGGAACAGGATAGGTCAGGGGTCTCTACCTGGAACAGGATAGGTCAGGGGTCTCTACCTGGAACAGGATAGGTGAGGGGTCTCTACCTGGAACAGGATAGGTCAGGTTCTCTACCTGGAACGGGATAGGTCAGGGGTCTCTACCTGGAACAGGATAGGTCAGGGGTCTCTACCTGGAACAGGATAGGTCAGGGGTCTCTACCTGGAACAGGATAGGTCAGGTTCTCTACCTGGAACGGGATAGGTCAGGGGTCTCTACCTGGAACAGGATAGGTCAGGGGTCTCTACCTGGAACAGGATAGGTCAGGGGTCTCTACCTGGAACAGGATAGGTCAGGGGTCTCTACCTGGAACAGGATAGGTCAGGGGTCTCTACCTGGAACAGGATAGGTCAGGGGTCTCTACCTGGAACAGGATAGGTCAGGGGTCTCTACCTGGAACAGGATAGGTCAGGGGTCTCTACCTGGAACGGGATAGGTCAGGGGTCTCCAACTACCGTCCTACAAAGCTACTGGGGGTGCAGGCTTTTATTCCACCCCATCATTAATACACCCGTCTCATGGCCTTCAGTCTGGACCTTGATTATCTGATTCAGGTGAGTTAGTGCTGGGTTGGAACGAAAGCTCTCCAGGACCAGAGTTATAGACCCCGGTACAGGTTCTGTCAGTTATAGACCCCGGTACAGGTTCTGTCAGTTATAGACCCCGGTACAGGTTCTGTCAGTTATAGACCCCGGTACAGGTTCTGTCAGTTATAGACCCCGGTACAGGTTCTGTCAGTTATAGACCCCGGTACAGGTTCTGTCAGTTATAGACCCCGGTACAGGTTCTGTCAGTTATAGACCCCGGTACAGGTTCTGTCAGTTATAGACCCCGGTACAGGTTCTGTCAGTTATAGACCCCGGTACAGGTTCTGTCAGTTATAGACCCCGGTACAGGTTCTGTCAGTTATAGACCCCGGTACAGGTTCTGTCAGTTATAGACCCCGGTACAGGTTCTGTCAGTTATAGACCCCGGTTACAGGTTCTGTCAGTTATAGACCCCGGTACAGGTTCTGTCAGTTATAGACCCCGGTACAGGTTCTGTCAGTTATAGACCCCGGTACAGGTTCTGTCAGTTATAGACCCCGGTACAGGTTCTGTCAGTAAGACATGAGATAAAACAATTACCTCATATCCAGCTTTTGCCTGTTACCTTTACAAATCCACAGTACAAATTCAAAACAGGTTCGCCACAGTTCATTTGGCAAACGTGTTTGACTTCAAAAAAATTATACGCGTTAAGTTGTTTCAAAAGTTTAAATAAGGCACCTATGGGATAGGGTATTGATTATAAATAAGCACTATTTACAGAGAATAAATTAGTTTCTATACAGTGTCTGTCTGTTCAATGTAACAACCTGCTAAACGCAGCTGGTTTTTAAATTGACTAAAATCTGCTCAACTCCACCACACCCCCCTCTGCTGGTGAGACCTGGTGTTGCAGGTTAGAAGTATTCCAGCCTTCTTGTCTTTTACGTTTCTCCTTTATATTCCCTGGTAGATCCCTGTGAAACTTATTGCTAGGCATTCTTTGTCTGCTGCCTGTTTTATTGATTTAACCTTTATTTGATCAGGGAGTCATACTGAGACCAAGGTCCTTTATTTTATCAGGGAGTCGTACTGAGACCATCTGATCTATTATTTGGCCTAACTGGTCATTTGGTATAACTTTTATTATATTAACCCTTTACACTTCTACCCGTATACGGGTTAAAAATGGTAGATTTGGGCACTGATAAATGCCTAAATTGGAACGAAGTGGCTGTACAGTAACATGCTATACATGACGTCAGACCTCAGAGGCGCTCCGCTTCACAGCGCTGTACAGGTTTTGACTGACAGGGCCCAGAATCTTGACGTTCCATCCCTAGTTAGAGGTCAGTGACCTTGTTCTCCACCAGGGCGGCGACCTGCTGTAGACGATAGGCCACAGGTCAGAAGTGAGGGGTTAGAGGTCAGTGACCTTGTTCTCCACCAGGGCGGCGACCTGCTGTAGACGATAGGCCAGCTGCATCTTCTGGCCCGCTGCATCCTCCTCCAGAGACCTGATGATCTACAGACAGACAACAGCATTCACTTTAAGATAATACGAGTACAGTAGATTAAAGTAGAGATGTGACGATCTACAGTGGTGGTCAAAAGTTTTGAGAATGACACAAGTATTGGTCTTCACAAAGTTCGCTGCTTCAGTGTTATGAGATATTTTTGTCAGATGTTACTTTGGTATACTGAAGTATAATTACAAGCATTCCATAAGTGTCAAAGGCTTTTATTGACAATTACATTAAGTTCATGCAAAGAGTCAATATTTGTAGTATTGACCCTTCTTTTTCAAGACCTCTGCAATCCGCCCTGGCATGCTGTCAATTAACTTCTGGGCCACATCCTGACTGATGGCAGCCCATTCTTGCATAATCAATGCTTGGAGTTTGTCAGAATTTGTGGGTTTTTGTTTGTCCACCCGCCTCTTGAGGATCGACCACAAGTTCTCAATGGGATTAAGGTCTGGGGAGTTCCCTGATTTTTTTTTCCCGAGCCACTTAGTTATCACTTTTGAATTGAAAATTGTGAGTGAGCCCACTCCCTTGGCTGAGAAGCAACCCCACACATGAATAAACATTTTATTTACATTTTTAGTCATTTAGCAGACGCTCTTATCCAGAGCGACTTACAGTTAGTGAATACGTCTTTTTTTTTTTTTTATACTGGCCCCCCGTGGGAATCGAACCCGCAACCCTGGCGTTGCAAACGCCATGCTCTATCAACTGAGCTACATCCCTGCCGGCCATTCCCTCCCCTACCCTGGACGACGCTGGGCCAATTGTGCGCCGCCCATGAGTCTCCTGGTCGCGGCCGGCTGCGACAGAGCCTGGATTCGAACCAGGATCTCTAGTGGCACAGTTAGCACTGCGATGCAGTGCCTTAGACCACTGCGCCACTCAGGATAAATGTAAATGTAATGAATGGTCTCAGGATGCTTTACTGTTGGCATGACACAGGACTGATGGTAGCGCTCACCTTGTCTTCTCTGGACAAGCTTTTTTACGGATGCCCCAAACAATCGGAAAGGGGATTCATCAGAGAAAATGACTTTACCCCAGTCCTCAGCAGTCCAATCCCTGTACCTTTTGCAGAATATCAGTCTGTCCCTGATGTTTTTCCTGGAGAGAAGTGGCTTCTTTGCTGCCCTTCTTGACACCAGGCCATCCTCCAAAAGTATTTGCCTCACTGTGCATGCAGATGCACTCACACCTGCCTGCTGCCATTCCTGAGCAAGCTCTGCACTGGTGGTGCCCCGATCCCGCAGCTGAATCAACTTTAGGAGACGTCCTGGCGCTTGCTGGTCTTTCTTGGGCACCCTGACGCCTTCTTCACAACAATTGAACCTCTCTCCTTGAAGTTCTTGATGATCCGATAAATGGTTGATTTAGGTGCAATCTTACTAGCAGCAATAGCCTTGCCTGTGAAGCCCTTTTTGTGCAAAGCAATGATGACGGCACGTGTTTCCTTGCAGGTAACCATGGTTAACAGAGGAAGAACAATGATTTCAAGCACCACCCTCCTTTTAAAGCTTCCAGTCTGTTATTCTAACTCAATCAGCATGACAGAGTGATCTCCAGCCTTGTCCTCGTCAACACTCTCACCTGTGTTAACGAGAGAATCACTGACATGATGGCAGCTGGTCCTTTTGTGGCAGGGCTGAAATCCAGAGGAAATGTTTTTTTGGCAAAGAGGGACTTTGCAATTAATTGCAATTCATCTGATCACTCTTCATGAAATTCTGGAGTATATGCAAATTGCCGTCATCAAAACTGAGGCAGCAGACTTTGTGAAAATTAGTATTTGTGTAATTCTCAAAACTTTTGACCACGACTGTACAGACAGAAAACAGCATTCACTATACGGTAGAGTACAGTAGATTAAAGTAGAGACGTGATGATCTACAGCAGGGATGGGCAACTGGCGGTCCGCGGACCAACACTTAAAAAATATATATATTTTATTTATTTTTTAGGAACTCAAGTCGGGGTCTCAACATACTGTTGAGAGTTAGAATAATAGAATAGGTGCAATTTCGAAATTTGCTTGTGCATCAGCAGTCACTCAGTTAGCCCATGTCAGGTATCTAAACTTGTAGTAATCATGGTTGAATTACCATCAGTTATCATATTAAAAACGGCAAACATGTGCCTCCACCCAATGGCAAAACGTGTAGAATTGCAGGAAATTAGCCGTAAAACTGCTAATATTTCTCTCAACCCCATGGCAAAATGAGTACAATTGCATGAAATGAGTTATAAAATTGCAAAAATGTTCTCTCCCCCCTACAGCAAAATGTGTAGAATTGTATATATATATATATATATATATATATATATATATATATATATATATATATGTGTACACTACCGTCCAAAAGCTTGGGGTCACTTTGACATTTCCTTGATTTCCATGAAAACATACATGAAATGAGTTTTAATAGGAAATATAGCAAAATGCATAGGGAATGTAGTCATTGACAAGGTTAGAAATAAGGATTTTTAATAGAAATAATAATTGTGTCCTTCAAACTTTGCTTTCGTCAAAGAATCCTCCATTTGCAGCAATTACAGCCTTGCAGACCTTTGGCATTCTAGTTGTCAATTTGTTGAGGTAATCTGAAGAGATTTCACCCCATGGTTCCTGAAGCACCTCCAACAAGTTGGATTGGCTTGATGGGCACTTCTTACGTACCATACGGTCAAGCTGCTCCCACAACAGCTCAATAGGGTTGAGATCCGGTGACTGTGCTGGCCACTCCATTATAGACAGAATACCAGCTGACTGCTTCTTCCCTAAATAGTTATTGCATAGTTTGGAGCTGTGCTTTGGGTCATTGTCCTGTTGTAGGAGGAAATTGGCTCCAATCAAGCGCTGTCCACAGGGTATGGCATGGCGTTGCTAAATGGAGTGATAGCCTGTTGACGTTGAGATTGGTGTTTTGCTGGTACTATTTAATGAAGCTGCCAGTTGAGGACCTGTGAGGCGTCTGTTTCTCAAACTAGACACTGTATATGTCCTCTTGCTCAGTTGTGCACCGGGGCCTCCCACTCATCTTTCTATTCTGGTTAGAGCCAGTTTGCGCTGTTCTGTGAAGGGAGTAGTACACAGCGTTGTACGAGATCTTCAGTTTCTTGGCAATTTCTCACATGGAATAGCCTTCATTTCTCAGAACAAGAATAGACTGACGAATTTCAGCAGAAAGTTATTTGTTTCTGGCCATTTTGATCCTGTTATCGAAACCACAATTGCTGATGCTCCAGATACTCAACTAGTCTCAAGAAGGTCAGTCTTATTGCTTCTTTAAATCAGCACAACAGTTTTCAGCTGTGCTAACATAATTGCAAAAGGGTTTTCTAATGATCAATTAGCCTTTTAAAATGATAAACTTGGATTAGCAAACACAACGTGCCATTGGAACACAGGACTGATGGTTGCTGATAATGGGCCTCTATACGCCTATGTAGATATTCCATTAAAAATCTGCTGTTTCCAGCTACAATAGCCATTTACAACATTAACAATGTCTACACTGTATTTCTGATCAATTTGATGTTATTTTAATGGACATTTTTTTTTATTTTCTTTCAAAAACAAGAAAGTTTCTGAGTGACCCCAAACTTTTGAACGGTAGTGTATATATACAGTGGGGGGAAAAAGTATTTAATACTTATTTTCCACCATAATTTGCAAATAAATTCATAAAAAATCCTACAATGTGATTTTCTGGAGAAAAAAAATCTCAATTTGTCTGTCATAGTTGACGTGTACCTATGATGAAAATTACAGGCCTCTCTCATCTTTTTAAGTGGGAGAACTTGCACAATTGGTGGCTGACTAAATACTTTTTTTCCCCCACTGTACAGCGCATTCGGAAGGTATTCAGACCCCTTGACTTTTTCCACATTTTGTTACGTTACAGCCGTATTCTAAAATTGATTAAATAGTTGTTGTTTTTCTCATCAATCTACACACAATACAGCTATTTTCAGGTCTCTCCAAAGATGTTCGATCGGGTTCAAGTCCGGGCTCTGGCTGGGCCACTCAAGGACATTCAGAGACTTGTCCCGAAGCCACTCCTGTGTTGTCTTGGCTGTGTGCTTAGGGTCATTGTCCTGTTGGAAGGTGAACCTTCGCCCCAGTCTGAGGTCCTGAGCGCTCTGGAGCAGGTTTTCATCAAGGATCTCTCAGCACTTTGCTCCGTTCATCTTTCCCTTGATCCTGACTAGTCTCCCAGTCCCTGCTGCTGAAAAACCTCCCCACAGCATGATGCTGCCACCACCATGCTTCACCGTAGGGATGTTGCCAGGTTTCCTGCAGACGTGACAATTGGCATTCAGGCCAAAGAGTTCAATCTTGGTTTCTTCAGACCAGAGAATCTTGTTTCTCATGGTCAGAGTCTTTAGGTGCCTTTTGGCAAACTCCAAGCGGGCTGTCATGTGCCTTTTACTGAGGAGTGGCTTCCGTCTGGCCACTAACATAAATGCCTGATTGGTGGAGTGCTGCAGAGATGGTTGTCCTTCTGGAAGGTTCTCCCATCTCCACAGAGGAACTCTGGAGCACTTTCAGAGTGACCATCGGGTTCTTGGTCCCCTCCCTGACCAAGGTCCAGTTTGCTCAGTTTGGCCGGGCGGCCAGCTCTAGGAAGAGTCTTGGTGGTTCCAAACTTCTTCCAATTAAAGAATGATGGAGGCCACTGTGTTCTTGGGGACCTTCAATGCTGCAGAAATGTTTTGGTACCCTTCTCCAGATCTGTGCCTCGACACAATCCTGTCTCGGCGCTCTATGGACAATTCCTTCGACCTCATGGCTTGGTTTTTGCTCCGACATGCACTGTCAACTGTGGGACCTTATATAGACAGGTGTGTGCCTTTCCAAATCATGTCCAATCAATTGAATTTACAACAGCTGGACTCCAATCAATTTGTAGAGACATCAAGGATGATCAATGGAAACAGGATGCACCTGAGCTCAATTTCGAGTCTCATAGCAAAGGGTCTGAATACTTATGTAAATAAGGTAAGTTTTTTTGCAAACATTTGCAAACATTTCTAAAAACCTGTTTTTGCTTTGTCATTATGGGGTATTGTGTGTAGATTGATAAGGATAAAAAACAATTTCATCCATTTTAGAATAAGGCTGTAACCTAACAAAATGTGGAAAAAATGAAGAGGTCTGAATACTTTCCGAATGTGCTGTGTATATACACTACCAGTCAAAAGTTTGGACACACCTACTCATTCCAGGGTTTTTCTTTATTTTTACTATTTTCTACATTGTAGAATAATAGTGAAGACATCAAAACTATAAAATAACACATATGGAATCATGTAGTAACCAAAGACGTGTACCTGGTCATAGTACTTGATGTAGTAACCAAAGACGTGTACCTGGTCATAGTACTTGATGTAGTAACCAAAGACGTGTACCTGGTCATAGTACTTGATGTAGTAACCAAAGACGTGTACCTGGTCATAGTACTTGATGTAGTAACCAAAGACGTGTACCTGGTCATAGTACTTGATGTAGCAACCAAAGACGTGTACCTGGTCATAGTACTTGATGTAGTAACCAAAGACGTGTACCTGGTCATAGTACTTGTTGATGTACTTGTAGAGCTCGTGCAGAGCCACCAGACTGTTCATCTCTGAGGCAAAACTCTGAAACAGAAAGACAGACATGTTACTGACACCTACTGGTTACATACCGCTACTGCACAGGCAATTACAACATCATCATATTTAACTTCATAATGATCTAACAGTAAAGTAGAGTAGATTATTAAACTAAACTAAACTATTCAAGTAAAGCATAGAGGGGAGGAGAGGAGAGGAGAGGAGAGAGGAGAGGAGAGGAGAGGAGAGGAGAGGAGAGGAGAGGAGAGGAGAGGAGAGGAGAGGAGAGGAGTGTGGAGTAGAGGAGAGTGGAGTAGAGGAGAGTGGAGTAGAGGAGAGGTAAGGAGAGGGGAAGGGAGTGGAGTGGAGTGGAGTGGAGTGGAGTGGAGGAGAGGGGAGGAGAGTGGAGGGGAGGAGTGTGGAGTAGAGGAGAGTGGAGTAGAGGAGAGTGGAGTAGAGGAGAGTGGAGTAGAGGAGAGTGGAGTAGAGGAGAGTGGAGTAGAGTGGAGGGGAGTAGACTATAGTAGGGTTTAAAACCCCACTCACCCCAGACAACTCTGTTAGAGTAGAGTTCATCTCTTGGTAACTGCCAGACGCTGCACTGTGGATGTCACTATAATACCTGAAACAATACCCACAGAACACATAAAACACTATAATACCTGGAACAATACCCACAGAACACATAAAACACTATAATACCTGGAACAATACCCACAGAACACATATACCACTATAATACCTGGAACAATACCCACAGAACACATAAAACACTATAATACCTGGAACAATACCCACAGAACACATAAAACACTATAATACCTGGAACAATACCCACAGAACACATACACCACTATAATACCTGGAACAATACCCACAGAACACATACAACACTATAATACCTGGAACAATACCCACAGAACACATAAAAACACTATAATACCTGGAACAATACCCACAGAACACATAAAACACTATAATACCTGGAACAATACCCACAGAACACATACACCACTATAATACCTGGAACAATACCCACAGAACACATACAACACTATAATACCTGGAACAATACCCACAGAACACATAAAACACTATAATACCTGGAACAATACCCACAGAACACATAAAACACTATAATACCTGGAACAATACCCACAGAACACATAAAACACTATAATACCTGGAACAATATCCACAGAACACATAAAACACTATATACCTGGAACAATACCCACAGAACACATAAAACACTATAATACCTGGAACAATACCCACAGAACACATACGACACTATAATACCTGGAACAATACCCACAGAACACATACACCACTATAATACCTGGAACAATACCCACAGAACACATAAAACACTATAATACCTGGAACAATACCCACAGAACACATAAAACACTATAATACCTGGAACAATATCCACAGAACACATAAAACACTATAATACCTGGAACAATACCCACAGAACACATACACCACTATAATACCTGGAACAATACCCACAGAACACATACACCACTATAATACCTGGAACAATACCCACAGAACACAGTAGTATTTGGAAAAAACAGTCAAGATCATCCACTGCACAGCAAGTCCACAGAGGGGAGGGTGATCCCATAGTCTACAGAGGGGAGGGTGATCCCATAGTCTACAGAGGGGAGGGTGATCCCATAGTCTACAGAGGGGAGGGTGATCCCATAGTCACAGGGGGAGGGTGATCCCATATTCCTACAGAGGGGGGGAGGGGTGATCCCATAGTCCTAACAGAGGGGAGGGTGACCATAGTCTACAGAGGGGAGGGTGATCCCATAGTCCAAAGAGGGGAGGGTGATCCCATAGTCTACAAGGGGGAGGTGATCCCATAGTCTACAGAGGGGAGGGTGATCCCAAAGCCTACAGAGGGGAGGGTGATCCCATAGTCCTACAGAGGGGAGGGTGATCCCATAGTCTACAGAGGGGAGGGTGATCCCATAGTCCACAGAGGGGAGGGTGATCCCATAGTCTACAGAGGGGAGGGTGATCCCATAGTCCTACAGAGGGGAGGGTGATCCCATAGTCTACAGAGGGGGAGGGTGATCCCATAGTCTAACAGAGGGGGAGGGTGATCCATAGTCTACGAGGGGAGGGTGATCCCATAGTCCACAGAGGGAGGGTGATCCCATAGTCCACAGAGGGGAGGGTGATCCCATAGTCTACAGAGGGGAGGGTGATCCCATAGTCTACAGAGGGGAGGGTGATCCCATAGTCTACAGAGGGGAGGGTGATCCCATAGTCCTACAGAGGGGAGGGTGATCCCATAGTCCACAGAGGGGAGGGTGATCCCATAGTCTACAGAGGGGAGGGTGATCCCATATCTACAGAGGGGAGGGTGATCCCATAGTCTACAGAGGGGAGGGTGATCCCATAGTCTACAGAGGGGAGGGTGATCCCATAGTCTACAGAGGGGAGGGTGATCCCATAGTCTACAGAGGGGAGGGTGATCCCATAGTCTACAGAGGGGAGGGTGATCCCATAGTCTACAGAGGGGAGGGTGATCCCATAGTCTACAGAGGGGAGGGTGATCCCATAGTCTACAGAGGGGAGGGTGATCCCATAGTCTACAGTCTGACCTCAATGAGTTTGGATCAGTCACAAAGTAAAGGTCGACCCAGCTGTAGAACATCATCATTACATAGCGGGGTGACCTACTGCTTTTACAGACATCAACAGAACCTCAACTCTGTCAAGACTTCAAGCACTATAGTCTGTCTCACCTCTCAACCAGCTGCTTGTATCTGGGGATCTCTCTGGCGTACAGCAGCTTGTTCACTGGAGAGTCCTACAGGTCAGCAAAACATAATGAACATCATCATCACTACACGTTAATATGGATTACAAAATACGGATATAAATCTCAATTTCCTTAAACCGCTTCTCACAGCTAAAGTTGTCTGGACCTGATGAGGAACTACAAAATCTCATAACCTGAATCAATATCCTTGTCTGGGGCGGCAGGTGGCCTAGTGGTTAAGAGACGTTGTGCCAGTAATCGAAAGGTCGCTGGTTCTAATCCCCGAGCCGACTAGGTGAAAAATCTGTCGATGTGCCCTTGAGCAAGGCACTTAACCCTAATTGCTCCTGTAAGTCGCTCTGGATAAGAGCGTCCGCTAAATGACTAAAATGTAAATGTTGATGACTGATTTCTCCCTACTGTATTCTGAAAATACCATCAATAAAATAAATATTAAACATTCAAAAGATGTTGAAACTTGGGTATTATTAATAATTAGAAAAAATATATATATACACAAAATATACAAATAAATACCCAAGTTAAATAAATCACGTTAAAAAAGTGTTTCTGACCCGTCCGACTTTGTGTTCGGAGGTGGTGCAGGAGTCGATGAATGTCTGAGCGATGACAGAGAGAACAGCGTCCACGCTATCGGTCACCTGGACGTCAAACACAAACTGAGGGTTCTTCAGGATGTTCACCCAGAACCTCAGAGGCAGGCTGGGAGAAACGACAGAGAATATGCAATTTTACTGAAGGACACAGAAAATACAAAAGAATATCAAATTAGTTCAGTCGTTGATCACCGACAGAGCAAACTGACTGATCAAATAATAGTGAGTAGTTATTTAGGATGATCAGTCAGTCTTCTGTCACCGATTGCTGTCAATCTCGAACACAACCATCGAAAGTCTCACATTTCTCTCAGCAGTGAACTTTTAATATAGAAGAGGAGAGGGGAGTTACATTTTATTGAATTGTATTTACAATTTACAGAAGCACAAACCAGTAACCAGGACCAGTGACTGACTGACCTGTTGGTCTTCCAGATGTGTACGGTCTCGGGGTCGTCGATGCCGTGTTTTTCTGCCATGTCATCCAGGAAGTCAAAGAAGAAGCGCACAGCGATGGGAGGAGGGCGCTTGGTGTTGAGGATCGCTACGAACACATCGTCTACAAACTTCTGCAGCGTTCCCTTGAGCGGAGAGAGACAACATCCTTTAGACACACAGCTAGGTATATATACTGTACCATAACTTCTGCAGCGCCCCCTGGAGGGGAGAGATATATAACACACAGCTAGGTATATACAGTGCATTCTGAAAGTTTTCAGACCCCTCGACTTTTCCCACATTTTGCTAGGTTACAGCCTTATCCTAAAATTGATTAAATAGTTTCCCCCCCTCATCAATCTACACATAATACCCCATAATGACAAAGCAAAAACTGGTTTTTAGAAATATTTGCTAATTTATTATAAATAAAAAACTGAAATATCAAATTTACATAAGTATCCGGGACCTTTTACTCAGTACTTTGTTGAAGCGCCTTTGGCAGCGATTACAGCCTGGAGTCTTCTTGGGTATGATGCTACAAGCTTGGCACACCTGTATTTGGGGAGTTTCTCCCATTCTTCTCTGCAGATCCTCTCAAGCTCTGTCAGGTTGGATGGGGAGCGTCACTGCACAGCTATTTTCAGGTCTCTCCAGAGATGTTCGATTGGGTTCAAGTCTGGGCTCTGGCTGGGCCACTCAAGGACATTCAGAGACTTGTCCCGAAGCCACTCCTGTGTTGTCTTGGCTGTGAGCTTAGGATCGTTGTCCTGTTGGAAGGTAAACCTTTACCTCAGTCTGAGGTCCTGAGTGCTCTGGAGCAGGTTTTCATCAAGGACCTCTCTGTACTTTGCTCTGTTCATCTTTCCCTCAATCCTGACCAGTCTCCCAGTCCCTGCCGCTGAAAAACATCCCCACACCATGATGCTGCCACCACCATGCTTCACCGTAGGGATGGTGCCAGGTTTCCTCCAGACGTGATGCTTGGCACTCAGGCCAAAGAGTTCAATCTTGGTTTCATCAGACCAGAGAAGCTTGTTTCTCATGGTCTGAGAGTCCTTTAGGTGCCTTTTGGCAAACTCCAAGCGGGCTGTCATTTTCCTTTTACTGAGGAGTGGCTTCCGTCTGGCCACTGTACCATAAAGGGCTAATTGGTGGAGTGTTGCAGAGATGGTTGTCCTTCTGGAAGGTTCTCCCATCTCCACAGAGGAACTCTAAAGCTCTTTCAGAGTGACCATCAGGTTCTTGGTCACCTCCCTGACCAAGGCCCTTCTCCCCCGATTGCTCAGTTTGGCCGGGCGGCCAGCTCTAGGAAGAGTCTTGGTGGTTCTAAACTTCTTCCATTTAAGAATGATGGAGGCCACTGTGTTCTTGGGGACCTTCAATACTGCAGACATTTTTTTGGTACCCTTCCCCAGATCTGTGCCTCGACACAATCCTGTCTCAGAGCTCTGCGGACAATTCCTTCGACCTCATGGCTTGGTTTTTGCTCTGACATGCACTGTTAACTGTGGGACCTTATATAGACAGGTGTGTGCCTTTCCAAATCATGTCCAATCAATTTAAATTTACCACAGCTGGACAACATCTCAAGGATGATCAATGAAAACAGTATGCATCCGAGCGCAATTTCGAGACTCATAGCAAAGAGTCTAAATACTTATGTAAGTAATTTCTAAGAACGTGTTTTCACTGTCATTATGGGGTATTGTGTGTAGATTGCTGAGGAAATAGTTTTATTTAATCAATTTTAGAATAAGGCTGTAACGTAACAAAATGTGGAAAAAGTCAAGGGGCCTGAATACTTTCCATAACCTCTGCAGCGCCCCCTGGAGGAGAGAGATGTATAACATCCTTTAGACACACAGCTAGGTATATACAGTGAGGGAAAAAAGTATTTGATCCCCTGCTGATTTTGTACGTTTGCCCACTGACAAAGAAATGATCAGTCTATAATTTTAATGGTAGGTTTATTTGAACAGTGAGAGACAGAAAAACAATGAAAAAATCCAGAAAAACGCATGTCAAAAATGTTATAAATTGATTTGCATTTTAATGAGGGAAATAAGTATTTGACCCCCTCTCAATCAGAAAGATTTCTGGCTCCCAGGTGTCGTTTATACAGGTAACGAGCTGAGATTAGGAGCACACTCTTAAAGGGAGTGCTCCTAATCTCAGCTTGTTACCTGTATAAAAGACACCTGTCCACAGAAGCAATCAATCAATCAGATTCCAAACTCTCCACCATGGCCAAGACCAAAGAGCTCTCCAAGGATATCAGGGACAAGATTGTAGACCTACACAAGGCTGGAATGGGCTACAAGACCATCGCCAAGCAGCTTGGTGAGAAGGTGACAACAGTTGGTGCGATTATTCGCAAATGGAAGAAACACAAAAGAACTGTCAATCTCCCTCGGCCTGGGGCTCCATGCAAGATCTCACCTCGTGGAGTTGCAATGATCATGAGAACGAGGAGGAATCAGCCCAGAACTACACGGGAGGATCTTGTCAATGATCTCAAGGCAGCTGGGACCATAGTCACCAAGAAAACAATTGGTAACACACTACGCCGTGAAGGACTGAAATCCTGCAGCGCCCGCAAGATCCCCCTGCTTAAGAAAGCACATATACAGGGCCGTCTGAAGTTTGCCAATGAACATCTGAATGATTCAGAGGAGAACTGGGTGAAAGTGTTGTGGCCAGATGAGACCAAAATCGAGCTCTTTGGCATCAACTCAACTCGCTGTGTTTGGAGGAGGAGGAATGCTGCCCTACGACCCCAAAAACACCATCCCCACCGTCAAACATGGAGGTGGAAACATTATGCTTTGGGGGTGTTTTCTGCTAAGGGGACAGGACAACTTCACCGCATCAAAGGGACGATGGACGGGGCCATGTACCGTTAAATCTTGGGTGAGAACCTCCTTCCCTCAGCCAGGGCATTGAAAATGGGTCGTGAATGGGTATTCCAGCATGACAATGACCCAAAGCACACGGCCAAGGCAACAAAGGAGTGGCTCAAGAAGAAGCACATTAAGGTCCTGGAGTGGCCTAGCCAGTCTCCAGACCTTAATCCCATAGAAAATCTGTGGAGGGAGCTGAAGGTTCGAGTTGCAAAACGTCAGCCTCGAAACCTTAATGACTTGGAGAAGATCTGCAAAGAGGAGTTGGACAAAATCCCTCCTGAGATGTGTGCAAACCTGGTGGCCAACTACAAGAAACGTCTGACCTCTGTGATTGCCAACAAGGGTTTTGCCACCAAGTACTAAGTCATGTTTTGCAGAGGTGTCAAATACTTATTTCCCTCATTAAAATGCAAATCAATTTATAACATTTTTGACATGCGTTTTTCTGGATTTTATTGTTGTTATTCTGTCTCTCATGGTTCAAATAAACCTACCATTAAAATTATAGACTGATCATTTCTTTGTCAGTGGGCAAACATACAAAATCAGCAGGGGATCAAATACTTTTTTCCCCTCACTGTATATACTGTACCATAACTTCTGCAGCGCCCCCTTTTGGAGAGAGAGATAACATCCTTTAGACACACAGCTAGGTATATAACTTCTGCAGCGTCCCCTGGAGGGGAGAGATAACATCCTTTAGACATCTACGGTGCCTTCAGAAAGTATTCATACCCCTTGACTTATTACACATTTGTTGTGTCACAGCCTGACTTTTAAATGGATTAACACTAGAACCGCTAAAGCAGTTAATTTGTGTGTGTGTGTGTGTGTGTAGGGGTTGTGTGTGTGTGTGTGTAGTGGTTGTGTGTGTGTGTGTGTGTGTGTGTGTGTGTGTGTGTGTGTGTGTAGGGATTGTGTGTGTGTAGGGGTTGTGTGTGTGTGTGTGTAGTGGTTGTGTGTGTGTGTGTGTGTACCTACCTTCATAGATAATAGTCGTGTCAGGTAGATCTCTGGTATGGCCTTGGCCCTCTCTCTCTCCCTCATGCTGCTATGTTTGGGGATCTCTGGGTCCTCGCTGGACTTCACCAGGTGCCACAGCCTCACACCCTCCTCCCCCTCCCCCTCCAACATGGACATCTCTACGGAGTACACAGAGGGACACACTTCCAGATCCAGGTTACACATACAAAGAGGGAGACACGGGGCACATCTGAAAATACTACCAACGGGACAGGGTGCCACTTTGGACAGAGGGACACACTTCCAGGTCAAACAGGGCAAATCTTATAGTAGGGCAATACTTTTAATATAACATTGTTTAAAGGATGTCTGTCTGGTTTCTCCTTCCATAACACCGCTACCACAACAGACCATAATACTATACATATGATATCTGTCTGGTTTCTCCTTCCATAACACCGCTACCACAACAGACCATAATACTATACATATGATATCTGTCTGGTTTCTCCTTCCATAACACCGCTACCACAACAGACCATAATACTATACATATGATATCTGTCTGGTTTCTCCTTCCATAACACCGCTAACACAACAGACCATAATACTATACATATGATATCTGTCTGGTTTCTCCTTCCATAACACAACATACCATAATACTATACATATGATATCTGTCTGGTTTCTCCTTCTATAACACAACAGACCATAATACTATACATATGATATCTGTCTGGTTTCTCCTTCCATTACACAGCTAACACAACAGACCATAATACTATACATATGATATTTGTCTGGTTTCTCCTTCCATTACACAGCTACCACAACAGACCATAATACTATACATATGATATCTGTCTGGTTTCTCCTTCCATAACACAACATACCATAATACTATACATATGATATCTGTCTGGTTTCTCCTTCCATTACACAGCTACCACAACAGACCATAATACTATACATATGATATCTGTCTGGTTTCTCCTTCCATAACACAACAGACCATAATACTATACATATGATATCTGTCTGGTTTCTCCTTCCATAACACAACAGACCATAATACTATACATATGATATCTGTCTGGTTTCTCCTTCCATAACACAACAGACCATAACATTGAAGATCACTATCAAATCTTTACAGTAATGATGTGCTGTAATAAAACAGCTATAAAACAGTTGATATAGTTGATATCTTATTAAACAGGTTATAACAGGTTATAACAGGTTATAACAGTATTTACTCTCTCCAGTCTGGTAGACCTGGTGTATCCCCATGACAACAGCTGATCCAGGGATCAGGGCCACTGTAGCGCCGTCCGGCACCTTGTCGAGAAAACATTCACGTTAGCAGATCTTAGTGTTGTGTGTGTGTGTGTGTTGTAGTGTGTGTGTGTGTGTGTGTGTGTGTGTGTGTGTGTGTGTGTAGGGTTGTGGGTGGTGTGTTGTGTGTGTGTGTAGTGGTGTGGGTTGTGGTGTGTATGGTGTGTGGTGGTGTGGTAGGGTGGTGTGTGTGGTGTGTGTTGTGTGGTGTGTGTGTAGGTGGTGTGGTGTGTGTGTGTGGTAGTGGTGTGTGTGTGTGTGTGTGTGTGTGGTGTGTGTGTGTGTGTGTGTGGTGTTGGTGTGGTGGTGGTTGTGTGTGGTGTGGTGTGTGTGTGTGGTGGTTGTGTGTGTGTGGTGTGTGTGTGTGGTGTGGTTGTGGTGTGTGTGTGGTGTGGTTGTGTGTTGGGTAGTGGTTGTGTGTGTGTGTGTGTGTGTGGTTTGTGTGGTGGTGTGGTTGTGTGTGTGTGGTGGTTGTGTGTGTGGTGGGTTGTGTGTGTGTGGTGTGTGTGTGTGTGTGTGGGTGTGTGGTTGTGTGGTGTGTACGTGGTTGTGTGTGTAGTGGTTGGTGTGTGTCCGTGGTGTGTGTGTGTGGTCGTGGTGTGTAGTGGTGGTTGTGTTGTGTGTGTGTGTTGTGTGTGTTGTGGTGTGTGTGGTTGTGTGTGTGTTTGGTGTGTGTGTGTGTGTGTGTTGTTGGGGTTGTGGTTGTGTGTGTGTGTTGTGTTGTGTAGTTGTGTTGTGTGTGTAGTGGTTGTTGTGTGTGTGTGTGTTGTATGGTTGTTGTGTGTGGTTGGGGGTGTGTGTGGGTGTGTAGTGGTTGTGTGTGTGTGTGTAGTGGTTGTGTGTGTGTGTGTAGTGGTTGTGTGTGTAGTGGTTGTGTGTGGTCTGGCACCTTGTAGTGTTGCAAAGTGTTGAGTTTCTTCCAGCGGCCCTGGAAGACTGCTGTGACGTCATCGTCTGACAGAGTCAGGTGACCCGCCTGCCCAGATCGCCATTCTGACGAGACAAATCACATTTACCTCAAACCAGTGGTAAAAATATCATCTTAGGTAAGAATTTATAGGTCTGGGTTTGAACCCGGGTTATCTTAATGTTACGAGACTGCGCTAGCCTGGTAAGCTCAAGCCTAGCGATTAGCTTGGGGAGCTAACGCAACTCTTCAGGTCTCAGGCAAGGTTACTCATTACCTGAGAGTGGTTCAAAGAACCATTTCTGTGACATACCTAGATCTCTGTTTGCACTTTGGGCTGCAAAACGTTGTATGAAGGGTGCTTTACAAACAAACTGGGTTCAGTATTCCTTACTAACGGTTCTTGAAACCACTGAGGTCAGAACTGGTGTGTTGACCACAATTAAAACATCACATTGACCACAATTAAAACATCACATTGACCACAATTAAAACATCACATTCATTAGTAGAGTTTCCACACTCAAAACAATATATTCACTATTCCTTACCCAGGCCTAGTGAGTCTGCTATTCCTTACCCAGGGAGTCTGCTATTCCTTACCCAGGCCTAGTGAGTCTGCTATTCCTTACCCAGGCCTAGTGAGTCTGCTATTCCTTACCCAGGGAGTCTGCTATTCCTTACCCAGGCCTAGTGAGTCTGCTATTCCTTACCCAGGTCTAGTGAGTCTGCTATTCCTTACCCAGGGAGTCTGCTATTCCTTACCCAGGCCTAGTGAGTCTGCTATTCCTTACCCAGGTCTAGTGAGTCTGCAGCAGGTCTCTGTGAGAAGGGAACTCCTTTATAGATCTGGTCTAGGATCTTGTCTTTGACCTGTGTGATGGTGTCTGTGTCCAACACCTTGACTGGACACAGCTGCATCTCCACACCACTCTTCACCATCAGAGTCTGACCAGAGAGAGGAGATAGCAGTAAAGAGGGAGGAAGGGAGGAAGGGGGAGTTAGGAGGGAGGGAGGAAGGGGGAGTTAGGAGGGAGGGAGGAGGAGGAGAGTTAGGAGGGAGGGAGGGAGGGGGAAACGTAGGAGGAGGGAGGGAGGGAGGGGGAGGGAGGGAGGGGAGTAGGAGGGGAGGGAGCGGAGGGGAGGGAGAGTTAGGGGGAGGGGAGGGAAAGGGGGGAAGGAGGGACTGGGGGGAGTTAGTGAGGGGGGGGAGGGGAGCTGGGAGGGAGGTTAGGGAGGGAGGGGAGGGGGAGGGAGGGGGGGGAGAGGAGGGAAGGGAGGGAGGGAGAGTAGGAGGGAGGGAGGGGGGGAGTTAGGGGGAGGGAGGGAGGAGTTAGAGGGAGGGAGGGAGGGAGGGGAGTGAGGGGACGGCGGAGGGCGGGAGGAGTTAGGAGGGAGGGCGGAGGGAGGGAGGAGGGAGAGGTGAGGAGGGAAGGGAGGGAGGAGGGGGAGTTAGGAGGGAGGGAGGAGGGGGGGGGAGAGAAGGGGGGAGGGAGGGAGGGAGGGAGGGGAGTGGGGAGGGGGAGGGAGGGAGGGGGAGGGAGGGAGGGGGAGTTAGGAGGGAGGGAGGGAGGGGAGAGTAGGAGGGAGGGAGGAAGGGAGGGAGGGAAGGGGGAGTTAGGGGGGGGAGGGAGAGGGAGGGAGAGTTAGGAGGGAGGGAGGGAGGGGAGAGCGGGGAGGGAGGGAGGGAGGGGGAGGGAGGGAGGGGGAGTTGAGGAGGGAGGGAGGGAGGGAGGGAGGGAAGGGAGGGAGAGGGAAGGGAGGGAGGGAGGGGGGGGGGAGGGAGGGAGGGAGGGAGGGAGGGAGGGAGGGAGGGAGAGTTAGGAGGGAGGGAGGAAGGGGGGGGAGTTAGGAGGGAGGGGAGGGAGGGAGGAAGGGGGGAGTTAGGAGGGAGGGGAGGGAGAGTTAGGAGGGAGGGAGGGACGGGAGGTAAAGTCGGGAGGGAGGGAGGGTCGAGAGGGAGGGAGGGAGTTAGGAGGGAGGGAGAGTTAGTAGGGAGCGAGGGAGGGTCGAGAGGGAGGGAGGGAGTTTAGGAGGGAGGGAGGGGAGAGAGAGTGGGGAGGGAGGGAGAGAGAGTTGGGAGGGAGGGAGGGAGAGAGAGAGAGTTGGGAGGGAGGGAGGAGAGAGAGAGAGTTGGAGGGAGGGAGGGAGAGAGAGTTGGGAGGGAGGGAAGGGAGGGAGGGAGGGAGGGAGGGAGGGGGGAGGGAGGGAGGGAGGGAGAGTTAGGAGGGAAGGAGAGTTAGGAGGGAGGGAGGGAGAGAGAGAGAGTTGGGAGGGAGGGAGGGAGAGAGAGTTGGGAGGGAGGGAGGGAGGGAGGGAGGGAGGGAGAGTTAGGAAGGAGGGAGGGAGAGTTGGGAGGGAGGGAGGGAGAGTTAGGAGGGAGGGAGGGAGAGAGGAGGGAAGGAGAGTTAGGAAGGAGGGAGGGAGGGAGGGAGGGAGGGAGGGAGAGAGGAGGGAAGGAGAGTTAGGAAGGGAGGGAGGGAGAGTTGGGAAGGAGGGAGGGAGAGTTAGGAGGGAGGGAGGGAGGGAGGGAGGGAGAGTTGGGAAGGAGGGAGGGAGGGAGGGAGGGAAGGAGAGTTAGGAGGGAGGGAGGGAGGGAGGGAGAGGGGGAGGGAGGGAGGGAGAGTATGTATTATGAAAAAAGAAAACAGACGTACGATAGAGCAGTAGTCGATGTCCTCTCTCAGTAGATGGCTGTCGTTCAGGGTGCGCTTGGCTTTCCCCGTCACAGCGTCTACGGGTCCCTTATCCACCTGGTACTTGATGGCTCTGTACAGCATATACAGGGGCTCCCCAGCCACCTCCTAGAGGGGTACACAGTATGACAGTCAGGGGCTCCCCAGACACCTCCTAGAGGGGTACACAGTATGACAGTCAGGGGCTCCCCAGACACCTCCTAGAGGGGTACACAGTATGACAGTCAGGGGGTCCC